ATAGAAATTGGATCAGTCTTTCCTCACGCGAAGCTTATCATTAGTTGATTACAATGACTGGAAAAAAAATTGGGGTGCCCGTGCTCGTTGGTGAGCTAGAGCCAATTTTCAACTGAAAGAGCTCAATATCAAGGCAAGTCCGTCATGTTTTCAATATGCGCGTGCACGAGCGCGCGCTAATAACGCCATAAATTATGCGCAGTAAGGATGGGCAATGCAAATGTGAGGAATGACCTTTAAGATCTTATTTCAAATGGAATTTAACAGGGGGTATAATATCTCGTTGTCTATCCCTCTACTTTACTCCTAGAGAGTTTAATCATGATTTAAAGCTAAAAAAAACCGTTCTCGAAAAATGTTTTGTCAGTTGGCTGCCAACAACCGCCTTGACCATTTTGAAGTACTAGTTGGACTGACTAGCCGCAGAGAATTTACACAAACAGGACTATCCACTAGCTGATGTAGAGGTTTGCTTCTCGGCTACGAAAATGTATATCAGATAAAACTAAAAACTGATAAGAAAATGGCCTAGAATAGGGTGCTACTCATACTAATACCTCGTTCACGCCAACATATTTAACACTTTTAAAAGTGGTTTAACTAAACAAGGTTAAAAATTAGTTGCTTATTTCGTGCACACCCAACAACTTGACCAGGTAAAAACCTGTTTGATTAAAATATGGTAGCAAGGCGGTTTGTAATTTGTCTTCTCCAAATTACTGTAAAGCGTAATCATCGACAAATTGAAAAAGTCTAAACCAGATGTAGTTAAACTAGTTTATTTAATGTGAATGGGGTATAAGTGGCCTAGTCAGTTCTACCCATACTTCTGGGGACTTCCCAGCTCAGAAGTTGTTTTGTTTTTTTTTTCTTTACAGTTTTATATCTCAGTCAGTATTGCCTGTCCGACCGGTTTATGGGAGTGAGCAGTTTCATCGAGTTGTTGCTGTCGAGAGCGGGGCATTTGTTGAGCACTAGATTGTATTGCATGTACTTCATTTGCAGTTTTAAAACAACGCGGGATGACTTTTTCCAAGACCAACCTCGCTCCATGGCGAAATTGATTGTTGAAGATGAAATAAATCAGAGGATTGATCGCGCTGTTGGTGAAAGTCAAGAAAAATGAGACGAACAAATAGTTTGGTCCTTGGCAAAGATCTGTTAAACCGCTAAAACAGGCTATTAGTCCGATGAGCAGTGGAAAACGAAACACAATCACCACAGCGACAACAACTCCAAGCATTGCCAGCACTTTGTGCGTCATTCTCTCTCTTTGCTCCTGATTTGATGGTAGCTGATTTCCAGGAGGAATGGTTCGTTTGATTTTCACTCCAATGGCTATGTACAAAATGATAATGATAACGAGGGGGATCAATATTACGGGGATGAAACAAAACAAGAAATAAATGATGACTAGACGTAAGATGGAAAAATCGAAAGAACAAACAACATATCCGCTGCGAATTTCAATTAAACTGCCCATGAAAAATAACGGCGAGGTGAAGACTATCGAAAAGATCCATACCACTGCGATTATGCGACGGGCAATCCGAAGAGTAATAATTTTCTTTAATGGAAAAAACACCAGAAGAAAACGATCCAAAGCAATGGAAAACAAACACCCAGTGACAACCAACACTGACATTTCACCACTAAAAAAATGAAGGCGGCAAAACACTTCGCCTGCAACGCCACCGATCAACCATCTGTAGTTTAGGGCTGTCATGGCGATGTTCGCGGGAACCGAGTACACAACTAGGATCAGATCAGCAAAAGCCATGTTGACGATGAAGTAATTGCTCGGTGTTCGCATTCGTTGGTTGGAGTTCTTATGCACCACTGCGATCAGCAAACAGTTGCTGAGCAAACATACTATGAAAACGATGAAATAGGCTGCAATTTTGGCTCTTTTTTCCACAGCGTTTTCACTGTCAATCCACAGAGTAGAGGCGGAGGTTGAACTGCTGCTCTCTGCGAACTCGATGTCTGTGCTGTTTAAAAGAGAACCCATTTCTAGCCTGAGAGTTTTAAATTGAAAATCGCGTTAGCGACGGTGTTTCTCAGGAACACAGCGGTTTAGAAAGATTTTTTAGGCGTGTTCTGAAACTGTCTTCCTAATGGAGGACTTAAGCACTTTTAAAGAACCTCTCGAAATCCAGTTTGCTGTAACTCTAAACGTGATTTTCTCCCTTTCTCAATGTAATCACCTGTTTTTCTTCAAGATGTCATTAAAATGCATCTTCATTTGAATGGAAACTCTACACTTATCCCTTTTGTTTTACGTGACAATATTTACTAAAACCTTTTTATAACTTTTTTCTCCACCTGGTATGTTTGTTGATCGTAACGTTTTTTGCCACTTTACAGCCTTTTAAAAACGCAATAAACGAAAACTACTTCTGCGGAGCATTTGTCATGTTAATAATGTACGCGCAATTTCGTTGTCAAAACCCCCGCTAGTTATGGCTAGTGGTTTGTTGATGGTAGCTTGTCAGCGACAGAAATAGCTTTACTTTGTTCAAATTGGTTCGATTATGACAACTTCTTTAATTTCCGTCCAGATTTTATCTGATCTTTATGCATCATTTGGAAGTGTTTTTTTTTAACGAATGTTTTATTGAAAGTGACAAAAAGAAAAAAAATTAAACTTTATGTATTACTAGATCACCAGCAAAAGTCATATCGAACTCAGTGCAGTGATGTGTTGTTGACTAAAAAAAAATAAAAATAAAAATTGACCAAGCGTGATCTTATTTTCATTGACGGATAATCACGCCGGAATATCATTAACCAAAAAGACATTCTTCCGACAGATCTGTTGTTGGATTATTAAAATTTGCATTTGCAATCTATTCATAAGTGACTTTCTGATCAACCCCAACTCGCTCCTTCGTGCTGCAAGTCACAGCAAGACGCATAAAAAATAGCGATAACAACAATAAGATTATAACATGTGTAAAGGCCCATCTCTTCGATAAAAAACTGCAGTTGGTCGCTGTTGTTAACATACAAAAGGCCATCTTTTAGATCATTATAGTTATGTTAATTCCCATCTCTCGGTCGAGATTTTTATTATGCGCACCGTGATTAGTGAGTTATAAGTGGACAACTTGTTTATCGAAAAAAAAACAAAACACAAAAACAGATGATTTTTAAAGGTGTTTTCGTTGTATTTGAAATCCAATTTTCTCCATTTCTTTCCAATGTCTATATAAATGTTCTTTAATGAAGGTTGCTGAACTCGCGTGAACCAGCTGCTTCATGTGCGTTAGCTTGGGGCTATTAAAGCCGTTATATACACAAGACATCATGCAAGACCAAGAAACGATATTTATTGTCTCTTGGCAAGACATATTAATGCAAATGGTCAATGGAGCCTCAGTTGGTTTGCCATTCTAAGCGTCTAGGAAATATTTCCTTCAGATTATGAATGTTTTTCCTGAAGTACAACGCTCGTGAGACTCATAATAATTGATTCGGTCACCTAGAGCCATATTTGGAGGCTCGACGGTACTGACAGTGGATTCACTGTTACATAATCGCCATTAACCGGCGTGTTTTTTCTGAACCCTGGGGAGGAGTTCTCCGGTCATTTGTATACCGCAATGATTCGATTTAAAATTATAATATTTAGAGAGGAGAGGAAGCCACATCAAGCCTAGCTGCTTTTCATGCGGGTCGTCTATCCTGATCGGATTGAAATTTGGCAATGTTGGTTTTTTAGGAGGGAGGAAAACAGGAGTACCCGGAGAAAAACCCTCGGAGTAAGGCAACAACAACAAACCAAACCTACATATTACACCGGGTCGGTGTCATATGTGGCATTGATTTAGCTCCCTCGTCTCAATACGCATTCCTTTTCTAATAAGCGTCACGCTTATATGGGAGCGTGTTAGAAAACTGTGTCTGGAGTTGCACTGGAAAGTGCTGGGAAGTTGGTTGAGTCAGTGAAATGGGCTCCTGGTTGAGTGGAATAGTTGCTGGGTTCTTGTGCTCTTTTGAGTTTTGTTGAACGTCGGTAGGCGACGACAGGTGTATCTCTAGTCTTCATCGGGCGAGAAGGTGGACTGGTTACGAGTCACTATATGCAGAACGATATTCTTCTGCGATTGGTAGATTTCGATCCGCACTACGCCGGGAAAAAATGGTTCCCTCAGAGGTCATTTGTCTTACCGGTCTCCTGTTATTATGTTGCTTTTTTTTTCAATTTATTAATGTCATGCGTGGAAGGAGGTTGCCTTCGGTATCCGAGCCAGGGGCTCGTGTATATAAAACGCATGACAAAAATAACAATAAAATGAGAAAGAAAAAATAGTTGCTTGACTTCGCCTCAGTTAGGTTTGAGTACGAGTACGACTTTTGGAGGCTTCACATTATCACGTGACATGCCCATCTCATCCCATGAGCGACCATCACAACCTAAAATCAACACGAAGAGCGGGGACTCTGCAAATGTTGCTGGTCTAGAATTCAAAAATCGTACTCCTGCTCAAACTCGCACTCGTTATCCAGTCAAAAGATTGTGGACTCACAAGTCGCAGCCGAGTGAGTCCACAACAAATTTTGACCACTGTAATGACGCATGTCGTCGTCGATAAGAGATCAGACCACGCCAAACCACATTCGATTTGTTTTTTTTTTTTTTACCACAATATCAACGTCCAAGAAAATGGTTTTTTTTCAGAGCGCGAGCTAAAAAAGGCATTGGGCGACACATTGACGCGAGCAGCGTTGTCTGGACTCTTAATTATCGACAACGGCAAATTAGCCAATCAGATTGCGAGACTAGTAGCAATTGTGGAAAGTGTCTTTACGTCGACTAGACGAAGCACCTCGAAAAGAGACTCTGGTATCATGTCTTGATATTCTCTGTCGGAAACGCTCGCATGAATTAATTAATGTGCGCCGTATCATTTTCTGATTCGATTGGAGTATGGTTGGATAACAACATTTCTTATTTCGCTCCCATAATCGTAATAAATCAATATATCTCCTTGAGTAGCGGATTTTTAGTAGCCAATCGGTTTCCATAACAACGGTTTCAGTGTCGTTACTTTTCGAACTCATTTTCTCTCGGCCTCACCGACAACGTAACAAAAAAACTAATGGGTCTGGGGACGGAAATAAGTTGTCTGCGCATGCTCAGGAAAAGACTCGTAAGCGTCCCACATGTCTTGCCGCATCACGTTAGACATGAATCCGATCTTCATAACGCTAAGTAACTCTGGTTTTCCTTCAACACGCACAAATCTTTCGCCTTTTACTAAAGATTTCCGTGGAGGAGAACAACTGAATGAGTCTGTAGACTAATTTTTCGTCGCCCTACCTTTCGGCGGGGCTCCTAATAAATGCAAGAGAAAACATTGACCGCTTCCTGATTACATGCATTCTATTGTCGTAGCATTGATGTCATCCTTGTGTCTGTCCGTGGGTGAAATTTTGTACTGGGAGCGGAATAAAAGATACACGATCAGCATAGTGATATAGTTAGCGGAACCCCGTTGTCAAACTTTGTAAATGTGAAAAGATTAGTTTCAAAGAATTACCTTTGTAGTTTTACTACTGTCTGAAAGTTTGAAAACGAACAAGGTTATCCAAAAAAAAAAAGAAAAACTAATGAAAAAAATAAAATAAAATAGTTTTACCGTGGTTTTTTTGTTATACAGAACACTGACGAAGATAAAACGACACCACGAAGGAAGAAGGTCGGGAGTCACTTTTCAGGAGTCACACGGTATTCCTGGTAAAAACATTCGGTTCAGTCTTCCACGGTGCCTCTCCCCACCCAGGAGAATATAATGACGTGCCAAAAGGCCGGGGCCAACCGGACCGTGACCTGCGATAGCAAAACACCTAAGCAAAAATGAATGTTTCCCTATACAGGAACAAATAACGCTAACTAAATGTGTGGCTGAGAAGACAAAATATTTCGATCAGTCAATCTTAATTCAGTCGAATTTGAAATGTTCATCAACCGACCTGGCGATGCAGATAATGCGACACTTAATGTATAAAACGAGGTACTAGCTAATGTTTGAATACTCTTTACGCGTAATTATTGGGAGCCCCGCCATGAGGCAGGGCGACGAAAAATTAGTCTATAGACTCATTTGGTTGTTCTCCTCCACGGAAATCTTTAGTAAAAGGCGAAAGATTTGTGCGTGCTGAAGGAAAACCAGAGCTATCAACTAATACAGTCGTTCGGTGGTATTTTGAACGTGGTGCGGCAAGACCTGTGGGACAAATATAACTTGACTGTCTTAATCGTTATTTAAATACGCATGCGCATTAGCATGCAAGAGAATGATAACACATACATTGCTCCAGAGCCTTGTTTGGAATCCTTGACCAATAGAAATGAATGCTCTGGAGATGAAGTCTAGCGACTTTTTTACGTGCACGTGCATCACTGAACGTAACAAATAAAGTCGTGGTTACTGGCCGATCCCTGCGATCGCTTCAGAAAAAGGTGAGCGATCGTTACGACTACCGGTTTCCATATCATCGTCACGATTGCTGAACATTTTTTCAGCGATCGCGATCATATGGAACCAGCCTTTAGCTTTTTGTCCTGTTTATTAATTTGAAGCTGATAAAAGTAATTTAAACGCCACAGCAAGGTTATGAAGCTGACGTTTTGAGCGTTAACCTTTCATACTCGTAACGCCAGTAATTTTTTATCTGTATATATATATTAAGTTTCATTAACCTTTCTAATTAGTAATTCTGTTTTAATTTCAGTTAGTTTCAACTTTTGCGTAAGATGCATCATGTGATATTGGCCAATCCGCAAACATATCACGGGATTTGAGTTTCATCTGAGGTCATTACCATGTGCATTCAATAGATGATCGGTCAACCAGCTGGTTGCTTTACTTCTTGCTGCAGCTACACCGTGCTGACGAGACCCAACTGGGTCGAAACCGTCCACGGTTGCAATTCTTGGCTTTCAGTTTGGACTCTATCATGTCGTTGTCCCGTTAAACTTTCTACGTAGTAATTGGCCTGCAAGCAGGGTCACGTTGGAATACAAGCGCGCGCGGCGTGGCTGCGAGCGCGAAATCGAGCGGCGAAGCCGCGAGACGAGAAAGTTCACTTTCACTTTTTTTCGCCTCTTCACCAGACTCCTTCCCGCCTGATCGCTTTGCTCTTCGCCGCTCGCGCGCGTGACTCGAAGGTGAGCCTGCTCGCGGCTACGTAGTAATCAGCCTCGCTTCATTGTTATCATTAGAATATATGTGGGTTATTGACCAAGGGTGAGGTCTTGATGGTTGGGTATTGGCCAAGTGC